TTCACGGCTTTTGGGGACTCCACCCATAAATAATTTTGACCCAAATTATAGGTTATTTAGGTCCTTAAGTTTAATATTATTATTTGTTACGTCACCAAATAATAATATTACCGGGTGTCCACATTTAATTATTCCACAATTCAAATTAAGTTCCTTAGCCAATATACAAAATTTGATCACTTAATTTGGCTAAACAATATAATGACCCAATGTATTAATTACACATATTTAATCCCAAATAGATCCAACATTCTGCTCTCAATATGCTTAATTTTTTTTTTTTCCTTTCTAACAAGGATCATATTAGTCACTTTTAAGTCTTGTTTGCAAGTGAAATGAAGAGTTATTTTCCTTCATAGTTTTGAGCCTTGGAAAGGATGGAGACCTGAACTTGGATAATGATAATGAGATGAAAAGACAAAATCAATTGTTGAATAATTATATTTAAGATCATTAAGAGGCAAGAGAGATATATATGATGAACCTTAACTTCGATAATAATGATGAAATGATGGAACAAAGCTCAATTGTTGAATAATTATATCAAGATCATTGTGACTAATGGCAATAATCTTATGATAAGATGATGGGTACAGAGAAAATCTAAATCTATTTATCTTTGCTATTCTTGGTTAGAGTACTTCAACTTGTTTTGAAGTATGAAAAGAACTTTGTCCAATATGTAAAATCATTGAATTAAGTCAAGTACCGACATATATATGTTATATTCAAATTCCACTCATAATAAATCTCAACTATGATGTATACAAAATATAGTTTTTATTTTTATTTTTATTTTTTGCATTCATCAGCATACGTCTGAATGACATATCTCTTGTTAAAGTTCAGAACTATAGTATGCATGCTCCTCTAAGTGTCATACGTCATGCTACATGATGCCACAAACGTGGTTTTAATTAATAATTCCATTATTAAAAAAAAAATTTAACTACTTAAAGAATAAGCGCGGCACAATATTCTGCCACAGTAACATGGTTTTAATAATTAATTCCNTACAATAATTTGATCACTTAATTTGGCTAAACAATATAATGACCCAATGTATCAATTACACATGTTTAATCCCAAAATAGGTCTAACACGACCCAGCCCGAATAATGCTAAAAAGTGTTAACATTTAAAATTTTGAAATTTAGAAATTCCTGCCAAATATATTTTATTTAAACCCGTAATAGGATAGGCAATTTTATAAATAATCCCGCGCTCTAGCCAAGGCTCTCTGATCAACGGACCCAAATCGGTGGTCAACAAGTTTGGCACGCCGAGTTTTTGTGTTGCGTATGTCCAATATGCATGTCTAATTGAAAATATATATATTCAACAATACTTATTAATCCACCAATTAGAAAAAATCACACTATTTATTTATGTCAAAATTTTGTTTTCATACTCGCTATTCACAATATAATTTTAAAACTGATATTCGATCATTAACATATATTTATTTACAAGATTTACTACTAAAACCATCCATATATTTATAATTGTCAATTATTAGTTTATCACTTTTCATCATAACACTATTAATTATTACTCGTCACATTACATTCCTTAACATTATAAAAGTTAATCTTTCACTATATTTCTTCCTAAAAAAAATACTCATCAAAAGAAAGCTACATGCCCTATAAAACTTATTTAAATCAGGCTCCCTGCATTATTTTTAAGATAACATGAACTGCCATTGCTTTATGTTTCATAACTTTCATTAGTCCTAGCAAACAGTGTTGTGTTGGAATTATTACCCGCAAATTGTAGTGTAAATTACAAAAATGTATAAAGTAATAGTAAAAAAGTCCATTTTTTCACTTACCAAATTCTTAAATTATGACCTTTATTATGCTCACATAAAAGTAAAAGTCTAGAATTAATAAATATAAAAAGATACTCCCCATTATATCAGATCCGAAAAATATTTCAGAATTTTGACGTGACATTTGGAGATAAGGCCAAGAATAGTTTTTGCCATATATAATTCCCATCTGACCAAATAGAAAAATAAATAAAATTTAAAAAAAAAAAATGACAAGACATTCACACCTGTCACAATCCACATTTTCCTAAATAATCATCACATATGACTATAGCCAACACTTCAAAGAAAATAATAACTAAAATGAAATAAAATAAACAAAAAATATATATAATCGACTTTTTTAATCGGTAGTTTCAAATCGAGATGAAGTTCCTTGAAGAAAACAAGTAAGTCTTTTTGTTACGTTGACCTAACATTAGCTCGCCATAATTTTTTTCATAAATATCCATACTGTTATTATTATAAAATGTCGTATTTTATAAAATAATAATTATATATAAGTATGACATTTGATAGAATAAATATAATATGTTTTTTTTCATACAAATAGTATAAGGAGTCTATCTGCTTAATTGTTAAGCTGTCTCTTTCAAAAAATTATTTATAAATAAAACCTTGATATTTTATATTATAAATATTTATTTATTTTTTAAATGAAAAAAGTGAGATGAATCAATCAAAACTAACCATTATTTATGTGAAATAAAATGGAAGAGTTCCACTAGATGTGTTATATAAAAACCCAGCACTCACCAACTGCAATAAATTACACATTTTTTAAGAAACACAATCAAAAAAACAAAACAAAGACAAAAAATAGTGACAAAAAATATGGAAAATTGCTATTGGCCAGGAGAGTATGGACCGTGGGGCTACAACCAGGGGGAATCCTCCGCCGCGGCGGCGGCGCTGCAGTACCACCTGTACGGACCTCCGTGGGGCCTTCCGTACGGAGAGGCGGCGCCGGGGGACAGGGCGGCGAGCGCCTCCAGAAGCCACAGCGAGGCGGAGAAGCGGCGGCGGGACAGAATTAACGCTCAGCTTTCCACGCTTAGGAAACTCATCCCCAAGTCCGATAAGGTAATTAAAATTATGTCCCTAATTATAATTGACATGAAATAGTCGATTAAGAAATAATGAAAATTGAGTTATATAAGAGAGAAATACAATATAGTAGCTTGATCATATATTAATCGGATTTTTGTAAAGAAAATTGTATAATGGAAACCCAATACTCATTCATTACTATATATGTATCTGGATGTAAATGAGTCAGAGTTGATGTAAGAATTCATAAATTTTATGTAAAGTTCCTTTTTCGAGTCTTAACAAGCTAATATTGACTCGACTCGTTAACTAAACGAGAATTGAATTCGAGTCGAGCTCACGAGCGATTCGTTTTATGCTTAATTACGTGTACGCCTTGCATCTTTGTAAAATAACATATGAAATTAGATATAAATGAAACAATTTCTTGCTTACATCGTGCCTTTTTGATATGAAAGTAATTGTAAGATTCATATGAAATTAGTTATAAATGAGACAATTTTAAGAAATGTATTTGAATGCAAGTAGCTTGGTTGTTTTTGAATTGTACTATGACTTTTGGCCATTATTTCTCTCAGAATGTAATTTACCATACACAATTTCGAAATTGGTAAAAAAAATTGGTGTACTATGTTTACATTTATCAAACTTGTGATACGTTAGGGTCTAAATTTAATCAATTTCGGACCACTAATCACGACAGCCAATCAGAATTGGCTGCTAATGTGGCGTAATAATAATATTTGACGAGTGTCAAGTGACATATTACATCATAATTGATTTGAAAGCAAATTTCAGTGTTCTAACTTAACTACTTTTTTCGAATTTCGGTCCATTAATTTGTTAACCCCAATTTTTTTTATTACTAAATCATTTTATAAATAGATAAACTATTTTTTTCCTGAAAATTTCCAACATGTGCAATTTTGTACAGATGGACAAGGCAGCCCTACTTGGACACGTGGTAGAACAGGTGAGGGAACATAGCAAAATTGCGAAGGAGGTTAGCAAATCCTCCGCTGTCCCAACAGAGACTGATGAGGTCACTGTTGACCACTCAAACGACGATTCATCGCAGGATAATCGAAACATTTATTTTCGGGCCTCGATTTGTTGTGATGATCGGCCCGAATTGTTTGCCGAGCTCAATGGCGCAATCAAGGGATTGGGCCTTATCATACACCACGCGGAAATCACGAGCATAGGTGGAAGGATGAAGAGCAATCTCATATTGTGTGCGAATAATAATAATAATGATGATAATGATAATAATGAGAAAAAATCTTGTCGTGAGTCGATTAAGCAGTCGCTAAAATTGGCGTTGAGTCGTGTGGTTATATCGGTGGGGTCGTCGGGTTACACGGCCCGAAGCAAGAGGCAGAGGTTTTTTTATCCGAATTATCGTTGACCGGTTGACTTTTTGAAGACACTTTTTTTCCCCCACGTTTTGGTTTTCATTTACTTTTTTTGCTTAGAGCAATTGCATTATGCAATTGTTGAGATTCCATAACTTTGGTGGCTAGGACGTGTTAACTTAAATGGTCTATATACGATGGTCCACTAATTACTTTCTGTTTCTTATATTGAGTGTAGCCCTTAAGGTAGGAAGTAGGCCCAACAGGCTTCAGGCCTCAGCTATACAGATCTGGCTAAATTACCGTTAATCAAGCAATAGGCCCATTTAATGAATATATGGTGGCCCATCTATTTTTTTTTTTTTTAATTCATATACTGCTCATTACAAAATTTATAATAAAATATAAAATTAAAATACTGTTTTTTATTTTAAATTTAAAATATTGTTTTAATTATTTTTGATTAATTAATTTATGTAAAGATTGATACAAGCTCGAAACAAATTGGAAAGGTTCATACGTGGTCGAGCGGGTATTTCTGGGAGTTGCTTACGAACTGAGAGGTACTCGAGGGAAGCTCTTGTCGAGGCCATGAAATGTGGCGCACTTAAAGAAGTACCATGCTTAAGTTCTGTTAGCTCTTTTTTTTTTTTTTTTTTTTTTTTTTTTTTTTTTACCTACGCAATTTTTTACATGTTTGTTAAGATAATTCAGTCCATGTATGAATAAGTTCCACTTTTTCTTACCGTGTTTGATACAATTTAAAGACTAAAGTATACATTCTAAAAGGCATCAACCCGAGCATATGCTTGCGGATGAAGTTGAGGGGACATCTCTCGTCTAGTGGACATCCCCAGGATTAGCGAAGCATTGGACTGCCTCTTTTGTAAGTTTTTTCCTGTACAAACTTTCATCCATGAGTTCCATATGCTTGCGGATGAAGTTGAGGGGATACTCGCCGCTGGCGAAGCTACATATGGATTTGCTTTGATCACGCTCCTCGAGCTCGCATATCAGGGCTATGAGCCATGTCTTGAGGTTGTAGATGGAGTCAATTCTCTAAGCTTGACACGTAATCCACTTCACTATTTCGATACCATTTGTGATGCCCTGACACTTTTCTACCCGCTGAAACGTTACTATTGGAAATGGCTTGCCTTGGGAGTTGCCAATAGGATGACTGAAAAGTATAGAAGTTGGTCCGATGGACAATGCATTTAGTAATTAAACTTTTCTGCTCTAATATCTTCATGGAAAGATCAATATTTAATTAGTTGCATTTTGAAGGACACTGGTGTATTGTATTTCTTGAAACAAAAGATCCCGAACATGGTAACTGTTGGATCCTAGGCATTGACAGATTACTTACTCGAGTGATGCTCTTGTAACTGTTAGGACCTAAAGGATTACTGTTTGGACTCATAATGGGCTTCTCATCTTTTGTCAATGTCAAAATGGTACCTTTTTTGGAGTTTCATGTTCCTTTCTTCTTAAGATGTGCAAAGTCCAGCGCTTCTCTTCCGTATCTGAAAACAATTAGTATTAGTGGGGGTCGGCATGGGGCGGTTTTTTATGGATAAAAATTTCTTATATCGTCAGTGATACTTCAATTTTTATCTTATTGAGATGTTATGACTTATGATTATAGCTATTGTTTTTATATATTTGGTATTAAAATTTATATATACTATTATATTTGCTATTCAGGTAATACATCTTCTCAATCCTCTATAATGAAATTAATCTAAAGTGCATAAGAAGTGGTGAAATTGTATTGAAAGTGTTTCCAGTTTGTTACTCATCCAAGATGACTTCATATGCTGGAAAGGGAATAACTGTATTTTGGCCCGTCTTGATAGAGCAGTGGTAAACGTGAAATGATGAGGAGATGCAATAAAACAATATGCAAGCATATCCTTACAAAAATTACAAAGAAATTCTCTGGAGACCCTAGAGTACCTATAATTAGTGAGAGGAACAAAGTCAACAACCTTCATTCTTAATAATCCTCGAGATTCTGGTGTCAAGTGCAGCCCTCCAAAGGATTTCCATCATGCCACACAACATCTATAACAGGTCTTTCTCATCATAGCTTTATAAGATATAAGCATGCCATGTTTTCAAAGGTCATACAAATATTTGTTAGAGAAGAGAATCAAAGACCAGTTTACGTAAAACTCTACTCCCTACTCCTGGAGATCTTTCCATTTCATTTTCGAATGTATGTCATCAACCTTTGCGTGTGTGTTTCTGCAAGTCAAACGGCGCATAACAGACAGGAAAATGATTAAAAATTTACAGAGATTTTNTTTGGATGAAAAAAAAAAAAATGATAATAATAATGCATAAACGTAGACGTCATCATTTTACCAATTTGTAAATAAACTATCTCTTTGACATCCACACTATCAGTAATTTCATAACCAATTTGTAAATAAACTATCTCTTTGACATCCACACTATCAGTAATTTCCTTCCACGAGAACCCCGAAGATAATGATGGGCCAAGACATATCATTATTATTATTATTTTTTTTTTCAAAACGATAGATACTTCATTCATAATCAAGAAACAGGCCGAGAGGCTGAATAGTCCCCATATGTCCAATACATACACAGAGGCCATCCACATGATGCCTAAGACTCCCAAATCAACAGACAACAAAATCAAATGCAGTTAGAGGCAGAAGCATCTAAGCCCTCTAACTACTTACAATCCGAAAACAATTATAAGTCCAATACAATAGCTTAGATAACAATTAAACGAATACAAAGAAGTTCAATATGAAAAAACAAGCACCACTGAACCTAAGATTTAGAGCCTTAGGACCTAGCAACAATGTCCTTCATCATTGGCAACAATGTTCTTCATCATTGGTCTCCTTAAGTAACAAATGCAGAGAAATCCAAAAATGCATTACTAGAAAGTCAAAATAGAAAATTAGGATTTTACTAATTTACGTTCTCCAAGTATAATTTGACAACAATAACCTATGACTTTTAACTCGACATATGATTTTGCACACAATGACTCGAGCAGCTTTATCACCTCAGCCCTCCCACTTCTTGATTTTTCTCATCCCATTTCTACTTCCTCTCTTTTTGCGAACAAACGTCGATAAATTAATGTGGTAAAGGTATATGGTTCGGTTAATGTTCGGTTTAAATTGATAATTCGGTCGGTTCGGTTATTGGCATAATATGGTTCGGTTATTTCGATTTTCCTAGTTCGGTTCGGTCGGTCGACCGAACCGACCGATGCACACCCTTACGTGCAGCTCAATCATGGCTGGTTCAAGGGAGGACAGCCCTTTTTAATACATATATTGAAGGACCTGTAAAGATCTCGTTAAATGCAAATCACGAATTAAACGAACAACAATAAACCTATGCACAATAGATTCTAAGGTTTAAAGTTGAATACTTACGACTTAAAATTCACGGACTCTGAGACATTGTCTTATTGCACTGATCGGAAATTCAACGTCGGGTTTAGAGTTTGTGGGTCGTGCGTGCGGAGCTCGGATGATCGTGGCTCGTCGATGATGAAACGCGGCTCCGTACGCGTGCTCGACCGGGACTCCTGGCTACGTGCCGTGGCTCGCAGTTGCGTCTCGACTGCGGCTACTCACACGGCTCAGGCTCGTCAGGCACGAAAGAGTCGTGCACGGGCGTGCGTCGGGTCGTCGGGAACTCCGGATGCCTACCCAATCTCCGTGCCTTCTACTATATTACCCGACAGCTCTCCGGTTGTCTTCGTGGGGTCTTCGTTGGGTCACCGGGAAGCCACCTTAAACTTGACCAGGAACTAGGGTCGGCTCGCATGAGAGAGACGACTCTCTTATGCGTGTAAGATGTGTCCCAATCCCAAGAGTATAAGCTGTATTTATAGGGTTATGGCAGGGACCAGGTGATCATGTGGGCTTCTTGAGTTTTGGACCTAACTGTGGGCCAAGCCTACTCTGCCCAACGACTCAATTAATGTTTCGGTCTACTAACAAAATATTATTGCACTCCCTCATCATATATATATTATATTCGAGACTCCAATTATAATTACTCGAATTACCTCTCTATGTTTAAGATATAATGTCCGTCAATTAATTCGATTACTGACCATCAACAATTAATCGACCTCTTGAATTGTAGCTAGCACCACTCAAATCATTATTATTATGTCAGAATTTAGTTCACCTGCAGAGTTTAACACAACAATCATTCATGAGCTCACTTCAGGGACTTCATCAGATTAAGGCACATCGTGACCGTAAATATTCGAACAACACACCATACACACAACACTACTACCCAAAAACACGAAGATTATTGACCCACCAGATTGGTGATATTGCTTTTGGTGAATCAAAGTAGCAACTACTGTATGTACGTGAATGTTTATATCTTACGGGCTAAGAGAACGCAGTAATTAACTAAGGCCTAGTTCGTTTAGGACGATTAGTATAAAATGAACTGCTCCTTTCTAGGATCCGTTCAATACACAAATGTACTGGTGCAACTACTCGGGTAAGATCAGCTGTACAGTTCACACTTCAACCGTTCCGATAACGCCCGGTGCGAGTTGGACAGCAGTGACTCCCAAAAGGGGACCTCTCCCACCTCTGGGAGGTTTGACTGAAGCTTACCTGTAATGCCTTTTTGAAGTAGAAAATAGTCCCCCGTTCTGTGTTCGATCCTGCTTATTTATTGAATTTCAATGGTTAAACATCAATCCATCCAAAGAGATGATTCTATAAATTGACTACATGGACAATTTCTTAATATAATTTTTAATTGTGGAGTTTTGTGAAATTTCATAATTGATCACATGTCATTAAACAATAATTAATTAGCATGCATATTGTCGTAATATCACACTAGAAAACCAATCCACTATTACGGCCATCTAATTAATGAGTCCCAAAAGATAACGAAACTATCTGAGAGGATCTTCTGATTTTCTTAATCCACACAGAACTCCCACTGTAGTAGAATTATTGTCCAATTAACTGCCTTGTCATCCAATCAGTCGAGGGGGGAGGGGGTGTTGGGTTCAATGAGAAACGTCATCCATGTGCACATTCGAACATATTGAAAATAAATCCTAATACAGCTGAATCTATAGTTAGGATTAAGACTTACAGTTTAAAATTTTTTCCAACTTTGAGACGTTTTTTATTTCCGCTATTGGAGATCGTCTGAACCTCAGAGTCCGTTGGGCTGTCAAACTTGGCCTCGCCACCGTCGTACCTTCGATTGTCTTTCGTCTTCGGTCACTTGTCGCTCGCGTCGCACCATCTCGGTGTTGGGTTCGTTATACTGTACGGATTAAAATCGCAACAAAAATTATACAATATAATTATCATTTATCAAATAAATACTTAATCCGTAAGTACATGTAGCGATTAAAATGGTCGCCATCTTTTAAAATCACGTAAAAATACGAATTTTGATTTGTAAAGAATTTCGAAAATTACCTTTTAATGTCCTTCTTTGTCTTGACGATGATGAGGAAATCAATTTCCGGTTAAGTGACTATCACTTTTCTTGTTCGTCTCGCTTTAAAGGATCCAAGTGTTTCCTCTCTAATTGTATCCACCTTTTGAATTCCAATAGCAAGAACTAATTTCTTCACTAGTAGAAATTTCTCGGTTTTCAATTAGTATAGGAATTTAATTAAAGAGGAGAATTTAATTATATTTCTTGATATGAGAGGTAATTTTTCCTTATCTTCACTTTCTCAAAGTGCAAGACAATTTCTTTCTTTTCTCAAAATGCAAGATTTCAATTCTTCACTTTCGTATATCACATATGTACATATTTATACTAAAATTTTATGTATAAAAAATGTAATGTTGGGTAGAACATTTTTCATAAAAAAGAAGTCTTGGTAAGACTATTCCTACCCAATTTTATTAATAACTAAAATAAAAATAAATATGTAGAGTGGGTAACAACTCCCATATACCGTAATTATTTTATTTTTATTAATATTTAATCTTTAATATAAATTAAAGATTAATGAAAACAAATAATTTATGAAACATTTTCAATATTATTTGTTAAAATATCTTTATCTCCCAATAAATTAAAACCTACTCTTTTTATAATTATATTTTTACTTGGATTTGAATTTTCAAATCCAATTTGAAAATCCAACTATTAATTTAGTAATTTTAATAATTACTTAATTAATATCCAAAATTCAATTAATCAATCCAACT